AGTCAGCAGGCTTTACCTTCTCACATTTCCTTCCATTGTGAAATCAAAGGGTTTGGCGACGGGACATAGAAAGAATGTATATACTAATACCTGTCCATCATAACATACACAAAATCTGGAGTGTGTAGACTAACTTAGAAACAAAATCCCACTTTTCCACCCTATAATATTAATGACAGAGTGGTTTGTGTAATGGGTTAAATGGTAGACCTCTGGTTTCAAATCCAACACAGAATAAGGGAATGAAAGTCTCCTCGACCTGTTAATGGTAATGATTGTGTGTGAAATGAGTTTTGGAAACCTCAATGTGTTTCACAAAAGTCATAAGTCAAGAATTAAACTATCCCCAATTTGGTATCTGAATACAAAATCTCGCCCAAAGCTGACAGAATCACAGGCTAAGGAAAAGCAAAATGCTGCACAGATCCATCCTTCCCAAGTCCACAATTGTCAATTGTGCCTTCAGCCATCTAGGCCTGGAACTGTGGAAATCCTTCCAATAACCACTTTATCTTTCTCCCCCTTTTAAAACCTACATTGTTAATTAAACTTTTACATAGCTGTCCTAACAGCCCCACATGGGCCCAGTGTCAAGTATTTTCTGTATGGTTCTCTGAAGCACCATGAGGTGTTTGACTGCATTAAATGGAACTTGTTCATGTAGGATGGTATATTGTTGGGAAGGAAGAGTAAGAGATTTACTCTGTGCTTTAAACATGTAAACCTGACCTAGGAGTAGCTGATATCTGTAATAAAGTTATCGAAGTGGTTGTAGCCTAGACATGGTTTTTGGAAGTTAAAGCAAGATGCTGCAGATACTGGAAATAAGAAATAAAAATGAAACGTGCTGGAAATACTTGGCAGTTCTGGCAATATCTATGGAAAGAGAAATAGAGTTAACTGTTTAAGTTCAATCTCTCTTAAACTTATCTAGTATTAGAATGCCCAGCTTGACCTTGTAGGCCAATCTCCAGAGGAAAGACAAAGATCTATAGCTGGTCAGTTGCAGGAGTTGCTAGACGATTCTCATTTGAAGAAAATACCAACTGCCTCTATTCCTTTTAACTCTTTTTGTAAGGACGTATACAAAATGTTAATCGATAAGATAAGGGCTTGAGTTGGGGATAAGATATTAGCATGTGGATAGAAAATGGGTTGATGGTCAGGATGCAGACAGCAAACTGTTAGAAAGGCTAATGGAATGTTAACTATTACCGCAAGAGGATTTGATTTGATTTATTGTTGTCACTTGTACCAAGATATAGTGAAAAGTGTTGTTTTCTGTGCTCTGTGGACAGATTGTACCATACAAAGTGCGTCAAGTAGCAGAACAGAGTGAAGAATACAGCATTACAGTCACCGAGAAGGTGCAGAGAAAGAGATCAGCATGAACATTTTTAGACTTCCATTTAAAAGTCTGATAACAGTGGGGAAGGAGCTGTTCTTGAATCTGTTCATAATGTACTCAAACTTTTATTTCTTCTGCCCGATAGCAGAGGGTGAAAGAGATTATAACCAGGATGTGTGTGATCTTTGATGATCTTGGTTGCTTTCCTGAGGCAGCGGGAAGTAGAGATGGAGTCAATGGATGGAAGAGATAACACAGTGTGGAGCTGGAGGAACACAGCAGGCCAGGCAGCATCAGAGGAGCAGGTCACCTTTCCTGCTCCTGTGCTGCCTGG